TGTTTTTTAAATAATTAAAATCTAAAATTTACATTATTTACCATTGGGTTACTTTCACTCTATTTACACTCAAAATATTATATATAATGATTTATTTAATGACATAATTTATATCATATTATTATTTTTAAGTTCTCATTGTCTATATCACCATACATTTTAAAACAACACATTTTTTGTGTTCTTCGTATGTGTCTTGACTTTAAAAAACCTTTTTTTTTTTTTTTTTCCATTCCTTGGTTTTCTTTATTATTACATTCATTTTATTTATTACTACATTCAAAAAGCGGCTGGCGCAATAACTCCATCTCAACGGTTATGCGAAGACGTGTAAGCCATACATTAAGTTCTTTTTTTAAAAACAGTCAAACAACATGGCCACGTGGCGTGAACCCATTAGCCATATAGCACCGCCAGAGTGACTAGATAGGCACCGCCTCGCTACCGACAGTTGAGGGTGGGTAAACGGTGGAGGGAAGGAGCCGTGAAGGGCATGCCACGCGTGGGCCAGTGGAGGAGAACCACGTGCTTCCGACGTGATTAGTTGGCAAAAATGACGCAAAAAAAATGAATTTAAAATAACCTTTTTTTATAATATTTTAATACAATATAAGATATTATTTAAAAAATTAATTTTTTTATATACATAAAATTTATAATATTAAATATATGTATTTATTTAATAATATTTAAAATTTATATTAAAAAATTATCTTTATATCACTATTTAATAGTGCGGTTCCCAGTTGGCGGGCACCCACGCCATCTCTGTATCGGAAACAAACGCAATCACCGAACGACGCGTGGCGCACAATTGCGAACCGGTAAACGCGGGAGATTTTAGTCTACCTTCAAAAAAGTGGCGCCCGAGTATGGGAACTGGACAAGACCCGTAAAGGGGGAGCCTTATCCACATTCCCCAAATAAAAATCAGCGCCAATAATTTCAAAATATGTTGAAATTTTGAATATTAAAAGTCAATATTATTATTACATATATGTATTTCACATTTATGAATATATGATGTTCAAAATATATATTCATACATTTAATTAGTCAATTTGACTAATTCTAAATATATGTAAATTGCTTCGTAAATAAATACTAGATAAATTTTACATAATATTAATATATATATATATATATATATATATCATAATGGTTTCATTCATTCTGACAGGAGATGAAAGGTGTGAAACTAATGTAACAGCTTTGTGGTAGTTGCTAACTCGAGTTGGACACTGACAGCTTCCTAATCTCATCCAAAACTCGTCCAGTACGAACTACAAGGGTTTGTTTTGTAGTCTGTCAATCTTTATGTCTCTATCTACTCGGATTTTAATTTTAACTAGAACTAGTAAGAGGGGAATCTAGAAGCAGTTATACCCACTAATTTGTCCGTCAACCACGTGATTAATTATTTAAATTACTATTATTATTAATAATTTTAAGTGTTTTTTATCATTAATTAATTAATTAAATTTTGATTCTCTTGTGTTAGCTCAAAAATTGAAGTAATAATTAATAAAAATAGTGAGATGCAGGTTGATAAATTAAAAATTTTAATAATTATCATCCTTAACTATTTGGTTAATGATTTTTATATTCTAATTTAATGATTTAAATTTTAAATTAATGTAAATCACATCTAATAAATTATGTTTTAAAATTTTTTTTTTCAACCCTTATTTACTTAAATATGTATTAGTTTGCATTTAGGTCTTCAAGTTCAGTGACGTCAGGTCATGTATAAGTGCATTCTTTTACTAGGACAACGATTTGAATTCGACCTTTTACAAATTTGTTAAAAAAAAATTATTAATTTATTTTATTAAATAATATAATATAATATTAAATAAATAGATTTATAATATTATAAATAAATTCTTAATTAAAAATTTAATTGTAAAATATATTATTATTTTATAAATTTATAACATTATATAATATTATAAATATAACAAATTTATAGAGGAATCTGAATGCAGGAATAATAATAATTAATTAGGATTTAAATGGATTGAGCTAAAGTTGAAAAGGATGACTTTGAATAAAGAAAGGCAGCGGAACCGAAAGGGGCAACCAAATCAGACAACCATGATGAGAATATAAATCTGTGGAAAAACCCATTCACGATCCGCATGATACTGCATGCTAAACACAAAAATGGTCATCATCTTAAAAAGCATGGAATCATCAGCATTATTTGAGGTTTAAATAATTCTTCATATAAATCCAGCCGTCCCGCAGCGAAGTTGCGTGCCATGTCCAAAATCCATTTGTCTGTAAACAGCTTTCACACGCCGTAAAGCATCTATTATAAAACCATTTTATTCTTCGTTATCTATCCATATTTCTACCAATTGAATGAAAACATAATTTATGTTAAGGACAATGATTTAAGAATAATTTTTT